AATGATTATCCTAATTATATTTTAGATTTTTTATATTTAAAATGAGATGTTTATCCTGTATTTGATGTGTTTATCTGCAGTTAGTTACACGAATTCAGATATGGAATGAAATCGGATAAGGATGAAATTGTTTAAGGATGAACGAATTTAAGAGTTTTTAAGAGTTTTAGCCAAATGCTTTATAATATAGTATAGATAAAAGACAATACTTTTGTCTTCAAGATTCTCTCTCTAGTCCGTAGCAGCTCGAAATAAGATGACCCAATTGAAGGATTACTAATCAAGCGTCGTACAATCCACAAAAACAACTATTTTGGCAGTAAATCTATTGCTTAATTTGCATTTTGGAACTGTTCTTACAAATCAATATACAGCGAGTTCCATCACTAGGACCAATGCACTATGCAGTTTGGGTAGCCACAAAACCCAACCAAAACATTGCAATCCAACATTCTGCACTAACCATGAATCTAAAACTTCCTTCAATAATAACACAAATTAGATGAATCTTCTGCACCGAAACAAATACGTTGTGATGATAACAATGGACAAACGACCCATTTTGGCTTCAAACTTTGCTAAACGGCAAAACGTCACAGTTTTCTGGAGACATTCCAAGAAGGAATTTGTTGCGATCAACCGTTATCAGAAAGGGTATGGCCTCGGTTTAACCTTGTGTTCTCCAGCATCTTTCTCTGGAATATTATGGAAGATTGCAGGACCTCTGATTAACTTTGTGTGCTACAAAGAACTCAGCAGCGCAAGGAATTCTGAAGATTCTTCATCTTGCTTCACGACCTGCATGTACACCACTCGATATAAAAACCAACAGAAATTGTAACCATTCAAAGTAATAAAGAAAAAGAGACCTTTTTTGCAGCATTTCCACTAGAATTCATGCGAGAGATATTAAGGGAATGATTTTCAAAGCAAGATTCGAACCTTGATATAAATGTCGTCTGACAGGCTCATTTGAGTGCGAACATCGCTAATAACTTCTTTCATATCAAAATATGGTGGTTCAGCACGCCCTTCGCTTGTCCCAGGTGCATTCCTGCTGTGATGCCTGAAATCTTTCCCTACCCATAAGTAAAGTACGGATTTTTCTAATTTTCCATAACCTGAACTAGGAGCAGTGAAAATGAACATCTGTCGGGAATCCAAATCACCATAATCAAATCTTACAACTTTCTTTAAACTAGGCCATTCTCGTGCCACCACCGGTTGCTTTACATTCTCACTACCCAATTCATTTTCCTCCATTAAATCGATGTTATTTGACCCACCAGAAGTTTGATTGAAAGCACCTTCCGAAACTGAGCCTTTTGAACATGAAGAACCCTGAGACAGCAATTCTTGATTTGGTCCCTGTTGTGTAAAACCCGAGTAATTCAACTTGACATTTTCTTGTTCACAGGCCTTGGAACCATCACTCACCATTGGCAGCTTAAGACATTTAGGAGGTCCCCCTCTACGTTCAGCTATAGAAAGCGAAGACCTTTTTGATGGTGACAATGGGTTGGAAGTAAAATTGACATCAATGAACTCTGAAGTTTTAGATATAGAATGAGGAGAAAGTTTTGTTGGAACGAGTGATAAGTTTGATAATGATAAAGCATGATTACACGATGCTACTCGAGGAGATATGGCAGGAGAGTCCGAGCAACACTTGGAGTTAACGCTTGAATCAGAAGAAGATATGGAATCTGGGGAAAGATGAGAGGATGATGATGAAGATGACGAAAATGATGGTGATAATAAAGAATTTGAAGAAATGAGAAACGGTTTAGACACAGAATTGTTTTCTGTACCAAGAATCGAACCAGAATCTGGATAAACTCTAGAAATGGATGATTTGGAAGCAAAAACGAATTCCTTCATGTTTCCAAATGCAAACTTACGCCTCAAAACACTCCAAGTACTTTCTCTTGCCGGAAGGTGAGTTTCCTGCTCAGTTTCGGATGATGCAAATGGTGGCACAAATCCACCAACAATTGCTTTCTGAAAAATCTCAAAGTCGACATTATACGAATCAACTATTCTTTTACCAGGGGTGACTTTAGACGACTCAATAACATCCATCAAAGGTAGAAAAGTAGAAAAAGCATCCCAAAAATAGGATGGTTCTTCTCCTTCCTTGACTACAACAATCGGTCCCTGAACTTTTTCATATCGAATAATCTGGCAAACAGCGCCTCTTGCATCACGTTCCATAATAGATTCACATTTCTGACCAATCCAAACATAGATTGTCGAAGGTACGTGTATAATAAACGCACCTCTCGAATCTAGAGCAGCTGGAGAAGGGGAATTCAACATTTTTGGAACAAGATGCAAAGGATCATATGGGGAATGAGGAGCTATTCTATATAATCTAAGTAATGAACTTGGACTCAAAGGAAATGCATGAACCCTTTTTTGGCATTGTAACAATTGGCATGCAAATCCCATATTTGGATCGGCAATCCCTCTAGCCGCCTTGACGTATTGAAAGGCGTCATCGAAACTCTGCCCTTCTCTCCACATCCGATAAGCGATTACTAATGAAGTGGATCGGGAAACCCCTTGGCAACAATGCACGAAAACAGCTCCATTTTGTTCTCTAACATCTTCAAAGTAATCAAAAACATCATACAATATGCTTGTGATATCTTCTGAAGGGCTATCTTGTAACCATAAAGTTCGATAAACAAAATTCGCTTTGAAATATTCAGGGCATACGAAACCGACACAGTTGAGAATATGGGTGATTCCGTGTTGTTTAAGTATGTCTTTGTCTCTTGCAACCGCATCACCACCAAGGAAAACATGGTCAGCAACTTTTGAGCATTTCTTATCAAAGAATGCAATTTTTTCTCTTTTGCCAAGCCCCGCGTTCTTATCTGGGATCCTTTGAATTGTGGACAAATCAAGCTTTAACCTTTCTCCACCGTTGCTCGAATCTCTGCCCCTAGGTGTGCTAGGAAGTGGCCACTCGCCAATGTCATCTGAACCCGCTTTAGGCCACTCATCTAAGCTTCTTCTAGCAATTGAGATCGGGGGCAGAAGGGACCGACCTTTACTATTCGATCTAGGGGTTAATGGGGCAGGAAACCTCCTACTGTTACCACCATTAGCTCCATTTGGTTCTATACAATCTTTCTCACTCTCAGGAATAAGTGGTGGCAAAGACATCCGAGAAGAAGACCAGGAAGCAGACCGCCAATACATTTTCCGGTTACCGGAGATTGGCGGAGGTGCTCCTGCACCACCACCACCGTCACCATCATTCCCACCATCGCTACCATCTTCTTTTCCTAACATTCCACTCTAAAAACCGGCTAATAAGTAAAATCTACACTTGGCTGATCTATAAAACCTAGAAATTTACATAACTCAACTACAGATGCCAAAATCCAACACCTTCATCGAAAATTTCACCTGTGAGCCCAATTTCAAATACCCATCAAACGGAATTCAAAACGAGAACCAATAATAATAAATCAATTAAATCAACAAATACATGTACCCAGTCACGTTAAACATCAAATTTCTAACTTCAAATCACACCCAAAAAACAAAAACAAAGATAAGGGGTATAGATCTGAGAATCAAAGAGAAATACATACGCTTCAAAAGAAACCAAGATTGGGGGAAATCAATTGTAATATCGTCACGGATTTTCTAGGGTTTATCACAAGATCAAATCTTCGCTTCAAATAAGAGCGTATAAATTAGAAATAAGGGGGAAAAGCTTACCGATTTCGCACGTCCCAGAAGATAATACATCCGTAAGAGAGATGGAGATGGAGATTGGAGATTGGAGACGGAGATGTCTACGCAGAGAAAACGAAGAATTAGAGCAAGAATGAGTGGAGTATTATAGAATAGAATCTTGAAGTCCTAATCTTTGATACGACCAAAAGAAAAGCTTTGAATTTTGACTGTGTGTGTATTAAATTGGGAGACTGAAGTCATGTGAAACGTTCTAGAGGACGAATTAAGGGAAGGGGGAAAAGGTTCATGTGGAAATGGCCTACCTATTAAAACTTATATTAATGACAAAAATGAAAGAACCAACAATGGCCCTTAAATCAACTTCAATTTTATCAGGTACAAAGTACACACGTTTACAAATGTTGTCTATATCACCTTAGATTGTCATAAAGCGGGAGGTCAAGGGAGGAGCGGCTCCTTGCAAGTTTTGAGGGGTAGCGCCCCTAGCGGGGTTCCAAAGGACACCCTTGGTATTTATGAAGAGTCGAACTTAGTGAAAATTTTTTCACTAAGCATAAGTCTAGGTAAGTTGGATCAGAGATCTGATCATTCAGATCGAAGGCCTAAATTTGCCTAAGTTTTAACTCTACACGAGTAAGTTTAGGGATCTGGATTTTGAGCAGACTTAAGGAAAATCACCTAAGTCTTAACTCTGAACGGGATGAGATTGGAGATCTAGACTTTGATTAGTGGGTTTAAAATTCTGGACCTTGAGTCCAGACTTGAGGAAAACGACCAAGTCCTAACACTGGACTAGTGGATCTAGAAATCTGGACCTTAAGTCCAGACTTAGGTTCAGATTTATGTTTTTAGACTTCAAATCATACTTCTCTGATTCGGTTATAACTACTCTTCAATCGTATTCATTAATGATTATTATCATTTAACCGCTCTTAATTGTCCATCTTTCATTTAAATGTGGAAAAACGAGAATCTAGGTGTAAATATCACGTTTTCACAGCCTTTGAAAAGTGAAAAAAAAAAAAAAAAAACTTAAGAATCATCCCAATACGAAATTCGTGAAACCCAAAGCTTATAGGGTTGAATTTTTGTATTTAAAAAGTGTTTTTCCACATACGATTCTTATGATTATCCTGTCTTTAAATCTCATCTGAAATTACACTCCCTAACATTCCCAAAAAATCATGTCTCGTTTATTCAAATTTATGAATTATTATTCATACAAAGGGATAATTATAAAAACAAATCAAAGTGAAAACTTCAAAAAAAAAAAAAAAAATATATATATATATATATATATATATATA